GCTGGCTTGCCGCTGGGTGTACAAGGTCAAGATGGCACCTGATGACAGCATTGAGCGCTACAAGGCACGGCTGGTGGCGAAGGGCTTCGAGCAGCGAGCGGGCATCGACTACGGTGAGCTGTTTGCACCCACCACCCGCACAGCCTCGCTGCGTGCCCTGCTGGCGCTTGCGGCAGCCAAGCAGATGCACATTCATCAAATGGATGTGAAGACGGCGTTCCTGAACGGCGAGCTGGAGGAGGAGATCTGGATGCAGCAGCCGCCGGGCTACAGCTTAGGCAGCCCTGATATGGCTTGCCGGCTACGCAAGTCGATCTACGGCCTCAAGCAGGCACCCCGCTGCTGGTACAAGAAGCTGTCTGCAGAGCTCGGACGCCTGGGCTTCTTGCCGTCAATGTCAGATCCCGCGCTGTTCATCCGTGATGACCCCGCTGGCCCCGTCTACCTGCTGGTGCATGTGGATGACTTGCTGGTGGTGGCGTCCAACCTGGCGCAGCTTAAGGCCGCCAAGACGGAGATCGCTGGCTGCTTTGCGGTGAGGGACCTGGGCGAGGCGGGTGTATACCTAGGCATGGAGATTACGCGGGACTCGAGTACGGGGAGCATCATGCTTTCGCAGCGGCACTATGTGGAGCAGTTGCTGCAGCGGCACGGCCTGTCTGATGCTAAGCCGCGTCCCACTCCCATGCCTGAGGGCACGCGGCTGGTGCCAGCCGGTGAAGGACAGCCGGCGCTGGAGGATGGCACCCCGTATCGTGCTCTGGTCGGTGAGCTGAACTACTTGGCGACCAGCACCCGGCCCGACATTTCCCAGGCCCTGAGCATGCTTGCGCGGCACATGGCGTCTCCCACGAAGACACACATGAACCTGGCGCTGGGCGTGCTGCGCTACCTGTCTGGCACCCGGCGGCTCGGCCTACGCTACGGCGGTGGCGGCGACATCAGCGGCTTCACTGGCTTCAGTGACTCTGACTGGGCTGGCGACCCTGCTACTCGCCGGTCCACTACGGGCTACGTCTTCCTCCTCGGTGGCGCAGCCGTCAGCTGGAGCAGCCAGCTGCAGCGCACTGTGGCAGCATCGTCAGTCGAGGCGGAGTATCAGGCAGCAGCAGCAGCAGTGCGCGAGGCACTCTGGTTGCGCCACCTGACTGGAGACCTGCGACTGCCACGCAAAACCATTGCCATCATGGTCGACTCGCAGGGCGCCCTCAGCCTTGCGAACAACCCCATTACGTCGGTGCGCTCTAAGCACATCGACGTGCACCACCACCTGGTGCGAGAGCGTGTGGCGCGTGGCGAAGTGGAGCTGGGCTACTGCGCAACGGAGCACATGGCGGCGGACGTGCTCACTAAGGCGCTGGGCGAGATCAAGTTCCGGCGCTGCCGTACGGCGCTGGGTGTGGTGTGAGAAAGAGAGAGAGCTGAGGATGATGAGAGCTGAGTAGTTTGGCTTAGGGGGTTTCCTTCAGCTCAGGGACCTTGCATGGGTCTTTTGGTTGTTTTGTTGAGCGGGCATGGAACTAGGGGGGCGCTTTTGCATGGGTTAGGCGCCCGGGGTTGGCTAGTTTGCAGTTGCCCTTCTTCAGGGTGTTTGTTTGTTGGTAGTTACGGGCCTTTTGGTTTTGAGGTCCTGTTTTGGCGGTTGGTGCTTGCTGTGTGGCTGGCCTGGACCACGAACAGTTGGAGGAAGGCCTTGCCTGTTAGTAGCGCCCGTGTTGGTTTTGCCCCCGGTTCAGTTCGAGGGGGCGTGTTGGTGAGAGGTGTTTTCGCCCTGTCCCTGGAGCAGTTTGGGTGATCCGAGAGGACTGGTAGTAACAGGTGTTTGACCAGCGGCAGTTATGCCGGGAACGGTCCTAGAGAGTTGGTCAGTCCGGTAGTTCTGTCCGAGCGTGGCATGCCAGGGCAGGACTTAAGCCCTAGGCAGTGTTGTCTTCGTCAACCTAGGCAACCCAGGTCAGGCCCCTCAGACTAAGCCCGAGCGCAAGGGCTACTGGTAGCGGAGCGCAACGCTACACAGTTATATGTAACTACCCTAGAGTTACTATTGCTAACACGTCACAGAACCCTCCGCTGCATACCCGTATTATCAATAGGTTATGAGCCCCGGGGCGCCAGGTTCATGTGTGTCTTCGTGGGAGACGCCATGTGCCGCGCAAGCATGCTCAGGGCCTGGGAAATGTCGGGCCGGGTGCTGGTCGCCAAGTAGTTCAGCTCACCGACCAGAGCACGATACGGGGTGCCATCCTCCAGCGCCGGCTGTCCTTCACCGGCTGGCACCAGCCGCGTGCCCTCAGGCATGGGAGTGGGACGCGGCTTAGCATCAGACAGGCCGTGCCGCTGCAGCAACTGCTCCACATAGTGCCGCTGCGAAAGCATGATGCTCCCCGTACTCGAGTCCCGCGTAATCTCCATGCCTAGGTATACACCCGCCTCGCCCAGGTCCCTCACCGCAAAGCAGCCAGCGATCTCCGTCTTGGCGGCCTTAAGCTGCGCCAGGTTGGACGCCACCACCAGCAAGTCATCCACATGCACCAGCAGGTAGACGGGGCCAGCGGGGTCATCACGGATGAACAGCGCGGGATCTGACATTGACGGCAAGAAGCCCAGGCGTCCGAGCTCTGCAGACAGCTTCTTGTACCAGCAGCGGGGTGCCTGCTTGAGGCCGTAGATCGACTTGCGTAGCCGGCAAGCCATATCAGGGCTGCCTAAGCTGTAGCCCGGCGGCTGCTGCATCCAGATCTCCTCCTCCAGCTCGCCGTTCAGGAACGCCGTCTTCACATCCATTTGATGAATGTGCATCTGCTTGGCTGCCGCAAGCGCCAGCAGGGCACGCAGCGAGGCTGTGCGGGTGGTGGGTGCAAACAGCTCACCGTAGTCGATGCCCGCTCGCTGCTCGAAGCCCTTCGCCACCAGCCGTGCCTTGTAGCGCTCAATGCTGTCATCAGGTGCCATCTTGACCTTGTACACCCAGCGGCAAGCCAGCAGGCGAGTGCCGGGGGGAGGAACCGCCAGCTCCCACGTGCGATTCTCCAGATGCGCTGCGATCTCCTCGCTCCTGGCGTCGTTCCATTTGGCTGCGTCGGGGCCGCTCAGCGCCTCCTCATCAGTCCGCGGCTCCAGGGCACTGCTAGTCGTGGGGCGCGGTAGCGGTGGAACTGCCTGGGTGGATGATACGCCGCCGCCGCCGCTGCCGCCGCCACGCACGGAGGCCAATGGGGGTGTGAGCGGTTGACGTTGGCTACGGGTGACAGGCCTGTGCACGCCGCTGCCAGTGCCGCCGCTGCCGCCATCTCCAGAGCTGCCGCCGCCGCTGCTGCCGCCATCGCCAGAGCTGCCGCTGCCGCCGCCACTGCCAGAGCTGCCGCCGCCGCCGCCGACACTGCTGTCGCCACCACCATCACCACGACCAGCGACAGGCAAAGGGTCGAAGAGCGTGCCGGGCTTCCTGGACGCGGGCCCCCGAACCGCTTCGTCGAAGGTGACGTCACGGCTGATGACGACCTTGCCGTGAACCAGGATGCGGTGGGCAGCTGTGTGGCGCTCGGGCCCCAGATATGTACCTTCCTCTGCACGGGGATCGAGCTTCTTCAGCTGTTCAGTAGGGACGCGGACGAAGGCGCGGCAGCCGAAGACATGGAGGTCCGAGATGTCCGGCTTCTGGTCGTGGAAGGCTTCCCACGGAGTGACGGCGCGGCCAGCAGAGGGTGAGACGTTGCGCAGGCAGCTGGCGTAGTTGGCCGCGTCAGGCCAGAAGGTATCCGCCAAGTCAGCTTCCTGCAAGAGGGCTCGCACTCGGTCCATAAGGGTGCGGTTGAGCCGTTCTGCTGCACCGTTCTGCTGCGGCGTGTATGGGGCAGAGTAGTGGTGAACAGTGCCGTGCTCCTTCAGCCACTGCTCCAGCTGCTCCGCAATGTACTCGCCTCCATTGTCACTCTGCAGCGTACACACCTTCACGTCAGAACGGCGCGACTCCACTTGGGCTATCATCTCCTGCAGCGCTGCACCCGCCTGGTCCTTGGTTGCCAGCGGACGGACCAGTGAAAGGCCCGTGGAACTGTCCAGCAGCGTAAGCAGGTGTCGGGCGCCCCCACGGCCCACGACAGGCAGCGGACCACAGAGGTCTGAGTGGACAAGCTGCAGGGCACGTTGCGGCTTGTTCCCGCGGCTGGGAAAAGGCGCTCTGGTCGCCTTGGCCGTCTCACAGGTGCTACAGACGCCCGCAGCTGCCTGGCGCAGCGCAGCTACCGGCACGTCTACCCCAAGCACCAACTTGTCACGCACTAGCTGCTCCAGTCCCTTCCAACCAAGATGTCCGTACAGCCGGTGCAGGCGCAGTGCGGCCGCCATGTCCTTCTTGCTACACTCGCTGCTGCCACTGCTGCTGTTGCTCTCCGGCTGGGATGCGTCGCTGCTGGTAACGCCGTCTCCGCCACTGCTGCTGCTGCTGCTGGCACAAGCGCTGGCCGCTGGTGCGTCGGTGTTAACTGCCGAGGCACTGCTGCTCACGGGGCAGGCAGCAGGGATGTCCGCCGACGCTGGTAGCAACTGCGCAGCGACGACGAAGCTGTTGTTACCCCATGAACGCAGGGCCCCATGAACGCATGAGCCATTGGCAAAGAGGTGATTGTAGCCCACCGTACCTGACGTCTCGTACATACAATGGCTGCCTGCAACCTATCTGCTACCGGCATGGAGACATGCACCTTGTGACCTGACCTGACGCCCGAAGAGCCTGCTGTTCATCTAGGTGCCCCAAACTCATCAACCTCTGTCCTCAACGCCTCCTGTGCATGATCTCTCTCTCTCTCTCTCCTCCCGCTCGATGGATGCATGGGGGCTGGTCAGTAGGGGGGTCACGTGTGTGCGTGAGGGACGTATATGTGTGGGTATGATGCCGAGCAGGCGGCTTGTGCGGTCGTCATGAAGCCAACTCGCACTTAACGGGAACAATGTTGCTAGAGTAATGCTTTGCTGTTTGAAATCAGTTAATTTACTAAGCGCATACTAATCCAGTTGCGGCTCGTCCATTGTACAGCGCTTTGTCACCTTGTGGTGGCTTGGACTCGCGTGAGAGTTAGTGGCCCCTATCACTAAGTTCGGCACTGCCTGTCACCGTGTTGCTGCTTCAATGGCAACTTTGATTTCAAGAGGTGTGTCGACAGCGTGAGGGGCCTCTCTCTGCTCAGGGCATCGGCGCTTCGCTGTGTCAATAGCAGACACCGCCCCTCTTCAGTAAATTGCTACAAATATACTGACTCATTTCCCTTGTTTCTTATGGTCCCGACCTGAACAGCTACGCTGCTATGTCGCAAAGGTGCGTTTGCTGGGCCACCTGGTGTTGCTCACTTAGAGAGTTCCTTTGAGCGTCACATCAACAGCGTAAACAAGTTTCACGTTGAAACGCTTGGATGTTGAACATTTTCAAGTGCAACTTTAAAAGGAGCATCCCTCCGGACAAGGCTAGCTGGGTTTAGCATGACAGCGGTAAACGCCATGCGGAAAGCGCAACTGTCACAACCCTGTCAAACTTCCGCTATTTGCTCCCACTGCAGGAGGTACCCCGTCCGTGGCAGTGCTTGGACCACGGCATCCTCGTGTGCCTACCAGCACCACGGCCTTGCCATGTTCGCCAGTGATGGCACAGAGGCGTGGGCATGCTGTGGCGGCCATGGCTGCTGGGGGTAGCGCCTACGGTCCTTCTAAGGAGACCTTTGTGGAGAAGGCGCTCTCTTCTTTGGGAATTATCCGCTTCGTGTGCGCAATGGCGCTGTTCGTGCGTTTGGCAGTGAAGCATAAGGTGCGTTTACAGCCGCACTGCATTTCTCCGCTTGCTCATACACTAGGTTGTCAGTGCAGCGTTTTCAGTGCGGCATTGGATTAAGGACGCCTTGACCGCCAAGCTGACCGCATGTGTGCTTCCTCCAGGTTCACCTACACCCTTTTGCTGGCTCCGCGGCTGAGCTGGCAGGAGGGGTGATGTTTATCTTGCTTGCCATCTGGGACTTCGTGGCCCGCAGCTCCAAGTAAGTAGCATTAGCAGTGAGACAAGTTGACGTTACAGATGTTGAAGGAATGGTGCATATGGATTACATTGTACGGTAGCTTGGGTCCCGTCTGTACGGGCTTCCCAAGTCCCCTAAGTGAAACTGTTGTGTCAATCCCTTTCCCTCTTGTGCTGCTCATCACAAAACCCATTGTCGCTTGGTTGCCCCTACTGGTCAGTCCCGATTTCTTCCATGTCCCTCCTCCTGGCTTCATGCCATGACCCCTCCCCGCCTTGTCTACTCCTGTCAATCAGTGTGGCTGGCTACCCTGCCGGGCCCCCCCTGAAGATGGAGACTGATATTCCTGTGCTCCCCGAGCTGATGAAGACAATTAGGAAGAAGGAGACCGAGATTGCGATGATGAAGACCGAGATTACGATGATGAAGACCGAGATTACGATGATGAAGACCGAGATTACGATGATGAAGACCGAGATTGCGATGATGAAGACCGATTTGCACGAAGTGAGGTCCGGCATCTGCAGCTTAATGACTCAGCAGTTGCTAGCAACTGCTGCATTGGTGCAGACAACTGTCGCATGGCAGCAGACAATGAACAATAAGCTCGAGCACTCATGAGTACCAGCTGCTGCATTTAGAGCTTGAAATATAGCAGGCATAAGCTCAGAGACGGGTGTGAGTTTGGGCTATCGGGGCCAGGGGCTTGTGTTGGCCTTGCCTGTGCCTGTTTTCGGTTGACTGGTTGTTTCCGTGAGGTGGGGTTAGTAGTGCACAGTGTGGGGAATTTGTGCGGAGTACGTCGACTGGGTTTGAATGAGTGACTGTTACAATGGCTCCCTAAAAGGGAACACAGGTGAAGGGTTTGGTGCGTTACCGTAGCCTTATTCCGTGTATGGCTGATTGGTCGGGCGTGCGCCAGTAGTGCACCCCCTCACTGATCAGTCATGCAGGCCGCACGGTACATTCTACACAACCGCAAGAACACAGCTGTGGGGGTATCGAGGGTGCACTTCTGGTGCACCCCAGGGCTTTGCAATTCCTCTGCTTACCTGTGCCAAGGGTGCACTTCTGGTGCGCTGTAATGCTCACAGAGCGTTACAAGGCACAGGTAAGCAGAGGAATTGCAAAGCCCTGGGGTGCACCAGAAGTGCACCCTTGAAACCCCCACAGCGTTCTTGCGGTTGTGTAGAATGTACCGTGCGGCCTGCATGACTGATCAGTGAGGGGGTGCACCAGGGCTTTGCAATTCCTCTGCTTACCTGTGCCTTGTAACGCTCTGTGAGCATTACAGCGCACCAGAAGTGCACCCTCGATACCCCCACAGCTGTGTTCTTGCGGTTGTGTAGAATGCATGTACCCTGTATATAGCGTTAATATATGTGGGCTATCTGTTCGTATCCGCCAAAGTAGCTCGTGTGTATGGTGCCATGGGATAAACGTTTGCCTGTCAAACAGCTTGTGCTACGCTAACACATCAAGAGCACTGCTACGGGTACCAAGGAATCCTTCTTGCTCCTGTCAGTGTAACGCTGCACAACTCACAAGTTGGTTGGGTTCATCACCCGTATTCCCTTTTGGGTCATTCATGTATGGTCGTGTGATAGTTCTTATAACGGTCAGTTGGTGTGATGTACTTGTTTTTCGATGTCGTGTATGCAGAAGGAAGGCGTTTACCACTTAACTGTTGTTGAAAAGGTTTGGAGACCATGGGAGGTTTCCACAGTGTCAACTGACGTGATGTTGCAGACGGCAAGCAAGCCGGCAGGCATAAGCTATCGCACATATGTACCGCACTCCTACCTAGTTCTCACCAACAAGTAGCGCCTTGCACCTCTCTAGCTGCATTACTATGCGGTCTGCACGCTGGCACCACCGCCATATCAATGACAGGCATACTGCAACTTTTGTCAGAAACAACACCGCAGCCAGCCACAGCGCTTAAAAGTTGCACACATCATCCTAGCCCACCATTGCACGACATACACTTGCCTCTGGCTCAGCACACACCGGTATGTATCCTGCTCTGGAAAGCGTGCTTTCTCCTAATGCATGAATGCAGAGCAAGGCCATCAGGCAGTGTTGACACTACGAATCACTCTGCTTAATCCAAGGCGATGTACCTAACGGCTGAACCGGTCGTCTAAGCCTCTCTGTGACATTGCATGCCACCATCCATACCCTTACACACCATACCATCCAACAACCCGCTGCTTTTGGAAGCCCTGCTGGCCAGCAAGCCATCACACACATGTGGCTTCTAGCCTTGCTACTGCATAGCACTGGGAAATTGTCTGCCCAGGGATCCTAGGAGGTGAGCCATATGAAAGACAGACTTCCTGTAATTTTACCTTTAAAAGGTAAGAGCCTCGGTTCGACATGTTCGTGGCTCTGCCCCTAGCACCGATATCTTCCTAATGGGCGACCGCTCCCATCCCCAATCACCCACGATCATCTGAAGCTGTTTCTAAATGGTAACATGAAGTGCATGGAACCAGCAAATGCCATCGACCCCATCATACAAAGGCCATTGCAGCAACAGTTGCAGCCGCTAAAGCCGTACAAAACTACTGCTTTTGTCGTACTCCCGCCACGAAAAGCAGCTCACTACCGCCGTACAACGCCACGTACGTGTCCGCACCCAGCCTCTCCAGTGCTAGCTGCCGGGTGCTTCGGGGCAGGCGCTTGGCTGGCCGCTGCTGCTGCTGGTCACCTTGGGAGTCGCCTGCTCCTGCTACCGTCCCCTGCTGCTGCACTTGCTGCCCCTCCTGCTGTTCCTCTTGCCCTTGCTGCTGGCTGCCCTCCATGCGCTCGGTCTCCCGCCAGTCCACCTGCCAGTGCTGCCCGGCAAATGCCTCCGTGCCGTACAAGAGCTCCCCCGCATCAAAGTGCCAGAGATCCGCGAACACGTGACCCTGTACAAGCGAGGAGGGAAACCGGGCCATCATTGCTACCGGTATGGATGGTCACATCTGAGTCAGCTAGGTTTTAACTTAGGATCAGCAGTCATGGGCCTCCTGGCTCTTTTGGGCCTTACGAGCACATCCAGTACACAACACACACACGTAAACATACTCATCCATGCATGAAGTACCGGTAACCACGACCTCGGTGCAAAACGCCGCAACACAGAAAGCATCACACGCACGGAGAGATCTGAGAGCACACGCCCCGTTTCACCTGTGCACCCGAGCACTCACTCCCTACCTTGGGCACTCCTCGTCTGCTGGCTTCCAGCAGCTCCCGGTCCACGCAGGTGGCCACCAGGCGGCTCCTCGGCTCCGAAACCTCAATCAACTGCACCAACAGGTCACTTGCAGCCGCAAGCGGCATGTAGTACAGCAGCGCCTCCAGCACCCACAATGTGGGGAGGGCCGGATCGAAACCCTGGGCTATCAGCGCCGCCGCCAGGCTGCTACTGCTATTGCTGCTGGCGTTGCTTCCATCGCTGTGGTTGGTCTCACCACAGCCGCTGCCGCTGTCAGCTCCACCGCAGCCGCTGCCGCCGTCGGGGTTGCCGTTACCGCCACTGCAGCATGCAGCCAGGTCGACCCCCACGCAGGCGTAAGTAGCCGCCATGAGCGGAAAGACCGGCTTCTGCGGCTCAAGCGGCTCCAGAGATGCTTGTGGCTGCTGCAGCTGTGGCTGCTGTTGCGGTGATGGCAGTCGGGGTGAACCTAGCGGCTCGATTTGGGTTGTTTGTGCGCCTGCTAGTGCCAGCAGCTTCGCCTTGGTGCTGGCAACATGTGGCAGGTCAACTTCAAACACGTGGCACCCCGACAGCGCCGCAAGCCGCCAGGGCCGAGTGCACATGCCAGCGCCCAGAGATACCACCTGGCAGGCTGGATGGGGAGAGAGCGTGTGGGTGCGTAAGCGGGAGTGTGCGGGGGTGTGCGGGCTGCGGAGTCGCTGTCGTCTAGCGAATACACACACTCCGGCACTCAACACTGAAACCAAGTTGCGTGTTTGGGAGCGGCGTGGATAGGTAGGCTTGTACAGCGGGATGTGCAAAAGCCCTCGCGTCAACCCATAGATGTTGGAATGCTCAGACGGGTACTGGCTTACCAGTGGCAGGGCCGCACTTCAAGGCTGCAATCTCCCGTTCCAGCCAGTCATCAATCAAGCGGCTGCGCGCGGGTACACGCAGGTGCCGTCCTGGGCCCTGGAAGTGTGTGGAAGCAGCCGCACGTAGTGGGTTGCCTTATGGTGGGTAGGCTAAGCGGTTAGCGGTTAGGGCTTTGGCGTACAACCTTGGCTAGTTGCTTCAGTTCGCGGCGTTCATCCTTAATACCTCTGATGTAACATACCTGGGATAGAGTGAGCTGCTCTAGCTCCTGCCGGGCAAGTGCTAGGCCACGCTCTCCGGCAAGAACCCCTGCTAAGGGGTCGGCAACTATCAATGGCCGGAGGACACAAGTGCTCTCCACGAAACGAAGCCCGGCTGTGTATCGCCCAGTAAAACCTGCGGCTTCATGTTGAGCTTGACCTTCGCGTGCGGCTTGCATGGGACTATGAGCCGATTGCATCCCAGGATAGTGCCGACAGCCCTAATGGTCATACGCTCTATATTCCAATGCCTCTATTGGGTGATGATAAACGGCGCTCGTGGCGTCGATAGGAGACTAGCTATCGTACGGTATCGGGCGGTCAGCCAAGGCGGTGACGGTGTTACCAACTATTTTCATTGATATGTATAGCACAATCAACACGATGTGTTAACTCAAACCATGATATAAGGCGCTGCTATTTAGGCCACTAGGCAATTCAATATGGACTTGCATGCTGTTTAATCCTATGAATGACATATCCATTAAACAAGGTGGTTCCTATGGCCCAGTAAGTTTATGTATGGATGGAGAGGCTTTTAGTATGGCCATGTCAACTGAACTGTGAACATTGTTTTGAGTATTCGTAGGGATGGGCATGGAACCATAAAACAAGTTGCTTTGAAAGCGTTTGCGGGCTCTAATAACTCGGAAGGAGGCACGTATGGTGGGAGAGCTTCTGCAGCCCTACTGGGTGAAGCAGGCAGTTCGGTGGGACTCAGTTCAGACGATCTCGAGGAATCGACTGGGGTACAGCAACTGGTTGAATCGGCCGGCTTTCAGGGAGCACTTGCAGAGGTGCGTATTGACGAATGTCCTATGGTGCATGTCTAAGCAGGCGGTCATTTCTTCATGTTTGAATACGACTGTCTTCTCCGCACAGGATTCCGGATTTTCGCTCTTGCATTATGTCGCGCTTCTGGGGCAGACGACGCTCGCGGAAGCCACCAAGGTGGACACGCCGGCCGCTAGGCGTCGGTTCGCGCGGATAGCACGGTACGTGCCCGCTATGGAACACCGTAGGCTTCCAGAAAGCAGTAGAGGGGAGCCCAGATCCAGATCCCCGCACGTGTGTTGTGAGCAGGTACTTGCTGAAAAGGCAGGATGACGACTTGTGGCAAAGGGATGACAACATCTTGAGAATCAACGACCAGGTGAGCTGCAGGTACTAGCAACCACAGGAAGCAAGGAACAGATCTGTGTGGGGATGTTGACTTGCGCTTCAATCGACTGGTTACGGCCTTTGGCCGTACGGCTGACATGGCGGCCTCTTTGCCGTACATTCGCTGCTGCAGTATGGGTGCATCCCGCTGCAATTGGCGGCTGCCTACGGCAACAAGGAGATGGTGGAGGTACTGCTGGAGCCGTACGGCGGAGGAGAAGCAGCCGGAGGGGTAGCACTGGACAGGGAAAAGGAGAAGGCGCGTAGCCATTACCTAAACCACCAGGACGCGCAGGTATGTAGGGTGCCCGACCGTGCCTAGCGACAGGTCCGACATGAGCAGGGAGATAGGGGTCAAGGGAGAGAAGGATGGGGCGTGGGTATCGTTCGGTTAGGGCGCCGCACTCGTTTGCCCAGAGCATTACAGCCGCAGATGCAGCGGCATGCAGCATAGCATGCAGCCCGCAGTTCCGGAGCTGCTTGGTGTGGCCGGCTGCACTGCAGCACGACAGCCGCGCCTGGGTGGTGGCGGCCGCAGCAGCAACCACTTGGGTTGCCCGCCTAGGGCAGTGCTGGTACGGCAGCGCAAGATGGCGGCCACAGCTATACACATGATGCAGGATGGCAGCTGCGTGCTGCCGCTACATACGCCAGTCAGGTCCATACGCTGACTGGAATGAGCAGCAACTTCGCAAAACGGCGATCAACACCTGGGCTTCTGCAGCGGTGGCTGCCTGGCTGCGATGGCAGGGCAGCTGAGGCAGCTGAGGCAGCTTGGCCACAGTAGCAGCATTCACGGCCGCATGTGGCGGGTACGGGCAGCGGTTGATGCAACGGAGCCGATGCCAACTGGGCGTAACGTCTGACCTGATGCCAGAGGCCTGCTGTACCGCCTACGTTGAGCAGAGCTAACCCCGCAAAGGCGGCTAAAAGGCGGCAACGGCAGCAGCGCATGAGAACTGTTGCATATAGCCCCCGGCATATGCTGCTGTGAGGCCGGGCACAGCTCATGCGGTGCCAAAGATTACGTGAGGCGGCAGGGCCATGCAGAGCACATGCTGGGGTCACAATCCGTCGCCGCCTTGGGGCCTGCCGCCTTGGGGAAGCCGGGATACTATGGGGCACCGCCGCTTCCCCGTTTAGGCATGCAAGCAGAGGATCTGCGAAGGTCCAGGGGATTAGCTAGGGGGTGCCGTCCTGGCAGCGGTATTCCCGGCAGGCTGGCTATGGCACATGGGCACGGGTACATGCAAGCAGCCTCGGCCACCATTTGCCCGCGGTCAACGTAACGAGCAGCGTGGTGGTGTTGCCGCGGGCCCCTGTCGCCGCCCGCTCTACCCAAATCAGGCGCCACCCGCCCGCCCTGCATGCACCCGCCCGCCTTGCACCCGCAATGTCCCTTCAGTGCTCTCCACCTCCCCATACTGTGTGCGCACAAACCCCTCCTGCATGCAGATCCGCTTCACCGCCCTGCATGGCGCCGTCAACCACGACCAGCACGACGTCGCCGTCCTGCTGCTCCGCAACGGCGCCAACCCGCAGATCCTGGACATCACACGGAACAACGCCTTCCAGGTGCGGTCCTGCCGTGAAATGCCGTACCGTGCCGTACCATTCCTTGCCCTCACGCGTGCCAGGGGCAGAGCCTGTTTGTTTGCAAGGATGCCTAATGCAGGCCCTTTCTTGTGCGACCGTGTTTTTATTGTGCCTTTCTAAGGACTTGGGCATGTCAGGCGCAGCCCCTTGTGCAAGCGTTTATCATGTTGCGCGCCTCCGGTCCCGCCTCACGCCTTCCTCCTTTCCGTGCCTCCGCTGCTGCTACGAGGGCAGGTGGCTCCCTCCCTGGAGTCGCTGCAGGAGCTGCTGAACTGGGTCGTGAGGGACATCGACGCGGTGCCGGTGAGTAGTAGATGCAACTGGGGCGGCGTAGGTGGCCTTTAAGGCTACCTCGATAAATACCAGGAAGCATGCTGTCGGAGCTTGTGGGGAATGTGGTAGTGCCTCGGGAAGGGCGCTTTCCTCCCGACATGGCTTGTATACTGAGTGTGTCGGAGAGCTATTGAGCAGGGTTGTCCACCTTGAGGAGTTTGTCTGCTCTTCGCAGACGCCAGCAATTGCCCAGCTGATGATTGAGGTAATCAAGCAGCAGGAGGAGCGCGAGAAGGCGGATCGCGCTAAGACAGCGACTGTGGCGAACCCTGGCAAGGAGGAGGAGGAGGCCAAAGGGAAGGCGGACTGGTCCAAGCTGGTGACTTCTGGTACCATGGACTACACGCAGGTGCGTGCGGAGGATTAGCGACCCATGGGTCAGGTGCAGGGCGATCGCGGCTGTCGTTCTAGTAGCCTCCAGTCGCTTGGTCGGGTTATTCGGGGATACCACCTGAGTGCTTCACCACCTGTTCTCCACCTACTTCGTAAGCTGCGAACTCTGTCCCCCGCCTTGCTATTTGCAGCGCATGATATTCACGGCGATAAACAAGCTGGTGACGGGCCAGACCCATGGGTCAGCCCACGAGGGTCATAAAGCCGCGGAGAAGGAGGCACCCGCGGTTCCGCCTGCGGAGGCGGGTGGTGCGGTCGGAGGCATCATCAAGCGCCTCTTCAAAGAGCTGTACGAGAAGGTAAAGTCTTGTGCATGGGAGAGCACATGACCCTTTCCTGCATGCGCATGCCACGTATACCGGTAGCCGTATTCCTCTAGGGCTATCAGATGCCCATCATCGTTCAATCCCTCACCCCACCTGCTCCCTCCCTCGCCACCTGACCTCTCCGCCCTACCTCCCAACCTACCTGCTACTCCAACCGATCCTACCCGGCAGCAACCTTTTCATACCCACTATCCTCCCTGCTGTCTTCTGCCTGCTGCAGGAAAAGCACACGGAGCTCTGGCACTACGTGCAGGCGGCGGTTGACTACAATAACTACAAGCTGACCAAGATGATGCTGGACCTGATATGCAAGGAGTGCCCGCGCGCACTGGCCAGCTGCAACTGGGACACCACCATGGAGTCCCTCATTGCTTGCTTCCCCGACCTCTTCCATGCGCTGCTGTACAAGCTGCAGGTAGGCGCGGTCGGTCAGTGACCCACGGGTCAGCCCTGCGTGGAGTTTAGCAGGGGAACTCCTTGTTCAGGAGGGGTGGTGGCTGGATTGGTTCCGGTTTCGAGGCTGGGGCAGGGGTCGCGGAAGATGGCGCAGCACGGCACCAGGGGGGGACCCAGTTCGTACGCTGCTGTACAGCCCAATTATACCGTTTGTCCTCTCTTATCTGTCCATGCACCCCACGCTTTCCGTTGCCCACCCCAACCGCAACATCGAACCCAACAACATGTCCCTCTCCATGCAAACAACAACCGACACAACAGGACATGTCAGACTTGGCCGTTGTGGGCTTCGTGCAGTCCCTGCGTCTGAGCACCCCGCCGCCCGCCGCCAGCAACAGCAAGAGCAACCGCCGGAGCAACCCGGGCACTGCCGCCGCCTCCCCACCCCCCTCAAGCCCCACGCTGCTGCAACGGCAACAGCAGGAGCAACCGCAGCAGCATCAACAGCTGCAGCAGATGACGCGCCGCCGCCTGCCCAGCCAAGTGGTCAGCAACGGCTCAGCGGCTCAAGGGAAGATCCTGATCTACCAACAGCTGGTGGAGGGACTCAAAGCGGTGAGGGTTGTGGCGTTGTCAATACCGTTGCAGGCAATGCAGCGGAGGTTAACTCCTCGAGTACTTTCTGAGGTTACATGAGGCCAGTCTGTGTGCTGGTGCGCGGCATTCGACACCAAGCAAGCAGGGCTTTATGGGCTGTGTGTCTGTCAGCTGTGTTTGTTACGGCTCAGCGCCGTTGCTGCTGTTGTGGCCGCTGTTCATCATAGCATCATTCCGATGCAGATGCACGCAATTGCAGTTTGTTGCTCCTGCTGCTGCTGCTGATGCTGTTGCAAGACGCTTGTTGGAGCCTCCTCTCTATCTCCTCTTTTACTACCTCCAGTTGCTGCCTGCCCAAGCCACGCCTTTGCTACCTTCACCTGTCCCCTTGCCCGCCTCCTCCCTATCATTATCCTACCACACTTTGGAATTTCTTTTTCCCTCCTGCTGGCCCCCAGGTGAACTACGTTGTAGTGAAAGCGTTCTTCGAGAAGGCGCACCAGGAGGTGCTCAACGACATGGCGCTGTACCCCATCTTTGAGAACTTTGTCATGCTCATCGCGGACAAGCGGACGGCCGAGGTGGGTGCAATAAGGATGGGTCTCCGATGGGGGCGGTGGTACTTTGGGGCAGGGCAGTAGGGGAAGTACTCGGCTACTTTACACGGACTACACAGTTGGTTTCCATGTTCACGCTCATTGCGGTCAAGGGGACTGCCCAATGGGTAAGGGTAGTGGGTTGTAGCTGGCAGGCGGGCGTGGGTCGTATGGCCGTGAGGCTTAGTGGCCACGCGCATGCGGTACCACAGCGTCTCCCCGTACCCGCTCAACCGCAATCACCCCTATTCACGGGCTTGTGCCCAGCCCTAACCCGATGCGTTGTGGTGGTGCCATAAGCCAAACCCCGAGCCGCCCGGCACTCCCAAACACCCACCTAGCAGCCAACCAACACGTCCACCATTCCTCAGCACTTTGTCACTTCCCTCGTTCCCTGCACCCTTCCCATCAGAGGACGGTAACTTTAACACCCGATCACCTACCCAAACCCAACCTTCAACGCCCCCATCCCTGCATGCATGCATGCCCCCACGCGCAGGGCTTCACCGAGTCCGACAGCAGTCGCGAGCGGCTGCTGGCCATGCTGCGGGACTCCAAGCTGGAGGGGCCCGCCGTTGTGGTCGACCCACGGGACACCCGGCCCGCCGCCGTCTCGCCTAACAGCAGCCTGACGGACGGCAACAGGTGCGAGCTGGCTTGGTGACGGTATTGGTGCGAACTCCGGCTCATGTCACCTGTCCTTTCCCACCCATTCGCCTTCCCCTCACGATTCATCCTTGCCCCAACTCTGCCTTCCCCTCTTGCACCCCGCCCCGCTATTCGCCTCGCAGCCACATAGCCTCCAAGCTCATACACCAGTTCTCCGTCAGGTTGCGTGCCTCCGTACGAACCACCGCCTCACGAGGCAGCTGGTGTCAGCTCCTAGGCAAGGGTGCTGGCGGCGGCAGCGCGCGGGGCATTGACGGCGCCAGCAGCGGTGGCGCCAGCGGTAAGGAGGAGCGCGCCGCTAGCGGTGACCCACGGCTCAGCAGCACCGGCGACGGCACGGACGGGCGGCAATCCTCCTCGGAATCCTCGGAGCTGGCGGTCCAAACGCTGAATGTGTCACGGGTGCTGCGGGCGGCGGTGCATGCGGGCAAGTCGATGAACGTGGAAGCCACGGTTCGCAGCATCACCAGCTGGGTGAACCTGAACAGCAAGGACCGAAGGGTGAGCAGGGACGGAGGCTAGCGAAGGAGGTGGTTAGGTGTGCGAACTGTCGTTTGCTGCTGCCTGCAATGACGGACTCGCTTGGCGCTGCCCATTACACGTTACTTGCCCCTGACGGCTGCGTTGCTTTCTCGCCTTGCCTTCTTGCCGTTTGACCGTGTTGCTGCCATCTTGTTGGCTCCCCAGGCGGTGTTCATCACGGGCATCAGCACGGAGCTGCTGAAGGACCTGTCCAGGCGCTTCCCGCTGGGCTGTGCCAAGCTGCTAAACCTGGTGGGAGGATACCCCGGGTGGTCGGGTTTTTTTGTCTAGATCCTGCCAAGTCCCGGTGTCGCACCCGTCAGGTTCCTAGTTCTGTCGCATGCAAATCTTTCTTTTCATGTTTCTTTTCCCGCCTGCCTCCCGGTATCAACCACCTTGCCCCGCCTCCACCTCCTACGCATTGCAAACTCCCGATCCACCCGCACCACCAGCCCAACATCATCAACCCCATCATGATACCCCAACCCTCTGCTCTGCTCCCTCCCTCCCCTCCCCTCTTTATTACTTACCCCAGGTGAGTCGCGACGTGTTGGAGCAGCTGGTGACGCTGCAGGTGGCCGCCAAGCTGCTGCTGCGGAAGGACCAGCTGGTCAAGTGCAGCACCGTGCGCAACCACTTCACGTGGCGCGCGCCGGAGATGCAGCACCTGGCGGACGAGAAGGTATGCATGAGGGTTGCGTGCATGTGGCTTGCCGGGCATAGGTGGGTTTGCATGACGCCGCATGCATGCGTCCTTTAACGACGTTTGCCTGTTCGGTGAAGGTGGCATAGGTCGAAGCCGTCAAACCTCCTGGTGCCAACGCTGTCAGTCCATTGCATCCACCTTTCGGCTTTGCCCCATGCTTTTGCGGTATCGTAGTCCTGACATCCATCCCCGTTCCCCAATCTTGCCGTGTAGGGCTTTTCGGAGCGAGTTGTGGACGCACTGGTGGACTACGGCATTCCCTTCGAGTGCACCTACAAGGCGGCATTCGACGGCAACGCCACGCGGGAGGACTTCGCGGCGCTGATCGAGGAAAAGTTCACGGGCGATGAGATCCGGGTGCTCATCTCCAATGACATCAAGCTGCCGGCGGTGGTGGACATTATCCGCGTGTGCAAGTATGTGAGTGCTGCAGCTGCTGTTGCTGTTGCTGCTACCGGTGCCGTGTCGCTGGCTCGCGGCTCGCAGCGCTAACGTAGCTTCTTGCGTGTTTCTTACGTTCTATGGATATCTTACTTCGATGGATACTGTGCGATGGCTGACCACGTTACCTGGGTAGTTCGGGCCCCTGGTGACCGGAGATGTGAGGGGATCTGGATCAGCCAATCTCTGTACTGTGCCTGTACTCCGTTCCTGTTTTCCTGCCTCCGACGCACCCCCTGGGGTACTCCTCGTGTCACCTGCCATGCCGGTCCTGCTGCTCCCCTTTCCTCCTCCCTGTGTGTGCAGCCTCCCTCTGAAGTGGAGGCGGACAACTTCAAGGCGGACTCCATGACGGACCTCATTCGCGACATGATAAAAGAGAAGCTGAGCTTCCGAATTGTGGAGGCGATCCAGGAAGCACGTGAGCACGTTTGGGTGGGGGGGTTGGAATAGTTCGGGGGCGGAAGGGTGCCAGGTTCGGGGTGAGGGCTGGGTGGTGTTCGAGAGTCCTGGCGTCTGTCCCTACTGCCTTACCATGACGGGCGCTCTTCAGTCATGTGTTTGGTGCATGTGCGTTTACACATCTACGGCCCTTCTTGCCGATGCCCTCCCAACTTCTACATAGTCCTTACCGGCCCCCTCCCTACGTCCCATTCCTAGCATACATTTGTTGTTGCCTACCTGTGTCGCCTCCTGTGTGTTTCCTAACCCCTCCTCCCACCAACAGGCACCATGAACGAGGCAACCACCTACATCAACTTCCGACCCGGCAACCTGCTCTACAACAACTACAAGAAGGAGCTCTACTACCCCTGCTACACAAAACACTTCATTCAGGTACGACAGCACGGTACGGCAGTACGGCGCCGCGGCCGACCATGCTGTGCGCGCTGTCGCTGCCTGGGCTGTTCGCTGTGCTGTCCTACTTGGCAGTCCTAGCCGACCGGGCCTTGCCTCAAGCCCTAACCCCCAACCCCCCATCTTCCGCCTCCCGCAGTTGCTGCTGACCAACTGGCGCAAGGGCGTCAAGAGCGGCAGCACCTGGACGCAACGTCCCTGGGACAAGAAGGTAAGGGGCACTCACCCAGCAAGGGGGGAGGTACAGGGAACAGGGGATTGGGTAAACAGGAAACAGGGGAGGACGTACAACACCTGAAAATCCTTTCGGCTATTGCAGTAGCAGACCCCTTGTGCGGCCTTCCCTTCCTCTCCCGACCAGCGTGCCTCCTCTCGGGAGCGCTGGCAACGCTGCCAACCTCAAGATAGGCACAATTCCAGCCGATACGAAATTAACCCCATAACCATTACCCCCGTGCCAACCCCCCGCACCCTTGTGCGTCCCCCCGCCCCCACACATTCCCACGCAGTTCATCGACACCATCTTCGCGCCCAACGACCCGCTGTGTACGGCACTCAAGAGCGCGTACGACAACAAGCTGAAGGACACGCAGGTGTACATTGACAAGCAGCAGGAGGTGGATAGCTGGGCGCGGAAGCAGCGGCAGGACCAGAAGCTGGTGCTGAGGTGGGATGGAAACGTGGAGGGGGCCCTGTCCTGTCCATGCTGTCCTGTTGCCACCCTGCTGCAGCTGATTACATTTGATGCTTCCTTGCTGTCCCTCTATTCCCATCATTACCCTCATGCTGGCCGTCACCGCCACCCGGGTTGTGTTGGCTTCCTCCCACCTCCCACCTCCCCTTCCGTGTTCCACCCCTTCAATCTATCCTGGTCGCAGCGCCTTCGTGTGCCGGCCCTTCCTGCTGCACCGCTGGCCCGTCTTCTTCCTCATGCACCTGCTGCTGTACCTCAAGGACAGCACGCGGGTGCTGTGGCGGCGCATGGGCTGGGAGTGGGGCACCAGCGCCAAGCAACACAGCGTGGACGCCCGGGCGCTGGTGGGTAGCTGGCGGGGCTTGGGGAAAAGGGTGGTAGAGCTGGGGAGAGAGGAAAACCGACCATGTGACGAGGCTCCACCGGTACCGCCCTCGCTCCTCTTTCCTCCGCTTTGCTCCCCTTTCCGTTCCATTTACCCGACATCCCACGGACCTACCCCCTTGCCTGGCTTGTCCTCCTCCTGCTACCGTTTTACTACCGTATCGTTGCCATCCTTTGGTTGCATGCCGCGATGGTGCCAGGTGATTCCCTGGAAGGGCATCGCGGACATGGGCAGCGTGCGCGGCATGCTGACGGGACTGATCGACGTGGACGTGCCGGTGCGCTGGTTCGGCTTTGCGGCGGTCAAGGCGGCAATCACCGTGCAGTGGCGTGAGTATGGCGGCTGTGGCGGGGTTGTGTACGTTGGGGTGGTGGTGGGCATGGCGCGCTGTGTCGTGCAGGGGGGCTTCACGACCAAGTAAGGCAATCGCTTGTGAAGCCTCAATACCGTATTGCTGCTCAATTGGTTCTGGCCGTTCGCGCCTCTTCATCTTCCCTCCCACTCTCTCCCCGCCTCCCTCCCGAAAACAGAGGAGTTTGGTCAGATGCTGATGCTCATGTCGGCACTCGCGCACGTCATTTTCATGGCGCTGTACGGCGGGTTCCTGCTGGTGTTGCGGCATGCGGGGGTGGAGGAGGAGGGGCAGACGGACAAGGTGCGGGTAGTTGGGGACATGTTAAGGCTGTGCTGGGGAGCGATATGGAGGTGGTGGAGGCAGCGCACAGAGGGGCTGTGAGCTCCCGCCTCCCTTATTCACCGGCGGCGGGAAGGAATGCCGTCTCTACCTGCTTCCGCGCATCCCCACACCCGGGTTTCACATGTCGAAAGGTGTGTTTTGAAACCCGCCCCACCCGGCCTCTTGCATGCGCCCCACCACCGCATGCCCCCCCCCAGATCCACCAGCGGCCTGAGGTGATGGCTCTGCTGATCGTGTTGGGGCTCATGAGCTTCGGAGGACTGCTGGAGGAGGCGTCGCAGGTGGGGGCGGGATGCTGTTAGCAACCACTAGGGTGGGGTTGGGCATATGGATGCGCAGGCATGAGGTTGGCTCCGGTGCCATTTTTTATGTCAACGTTTTTCCTTAACCCCCATGGAGCCCTACGTCGTACAGCATACCTTGCCGTACCACAAACAATTCGTGTCGTACACTTCACAGATGATGGAGCTGACGTGGCGCACCTGGCGCAACTACCTGGGCAACATAGTGGACGTGACCTCCTTCGCGCTCTTTGTCGTACTGTTCGGCATGGTGTGGTCGTCGTACCGGTACGACGTCATCCTGGCGGTTGGAGCGGTTGAAACGCTCGTACTGTTCATCCGGCTGGTGTTTTTCGCCTCCATGACCGACTCCATGGGCAGCCTGATGCGCATGGTGATCGAGATCATTAAAGACATGAGATACTTCTTCACACTGCTCGGGATGATATTCAGCGGCTTTGCCATCGCCTTCGCCGTACTGCTGGTGAGTACCAGTATTTCGTACGCTGCTTTGCCGTACAGGAGCCGCAGGTTGTCACCTGAGTTCCGCGTGATTGCTGTTTTGCTGGTGCTGTTCCTTGCTAGGCTCCCAAGGCTCTAACTCGTCATCACTGCCCTTCCTTGGCCATCTCACCACTCTATCTCCTGCTACCCCCCCTCCTGCCTTGGCCACACCACCACCGCCTCCTGCCACCTCCCTACCACCACTGCGACCCCCCGCAGGGCCCCAGCAACAGCTACGAGGCGGTGGCGTTCAAGCTGTTCAGTGTGATGCTGGGCGACTGGCAGTACGACTACTTGCTGGACATGATGCACACGGAGGACATGTGGTGGGTGCGGGTGTGGAGAGGGGGTGTTTGAGGTATCTGGAGGGGTTGCGGGTGCGGTTGGGGTTGCGAGGCACACGAGAGGGGTCGAGGGCTTGTGCAGCTCTTCAACAGGACTTGGCAACCCTCCTTTGTTTTGCGCTTACTGGCCGTCCTTTGTAATCCATTGTGTCGACGGCCCGAGTCCGAATGCCGCTCTCACACCCAATCCTTTCCGCTCCGTGGTGATACGTGGGTTGGTCCTCGCTGATCTGTACTCCGCAGGTACGTGTCCCGGCTGAGCGTGCTGCTGATGAGCGTGTACGGCATCCTGATGTTGATCGTGTTGGTGAACCTGCTGATTGCCATCATGAATGACACGTACGACCGGATCAAGGAGACGGAGGAGATCGAGGTGCTGCACAACCGTGCGCGCCTGATAGTGGATCTGGAGTCGCTGCTTACAAAGGAGATGCGTGACAAGCTGCAGGTGCGTGTGAAGATGCTCGGCACGGCACAGACAATATCCTATGCATGCATCCATCCATCCTGGCCTCCTCACCATGCTCTATTTCCCGCCTGGCCCCTTTCACGCTGCCACGAGCGGTTGGTCTGCGACTTCGGTATCCCGCTCTCCCCACGGTAATGCCCCTCTTCCCCCCTCCTCGGCCCCCACCCGCCCTTCAGGAGCGGCTGCTGGGTGATTACCTTCACGTGCTGGTGCCTGCCGACAACAAGTTCAACAAGTTCATGGCCAGCTCCGAAACGGGGGAGGGCGATTGGAAGGGCCGCATGCGGGCCTTTTCCGAGGTGCGTACCTTCTGTAAACTTCCCACATGGAGGCACACCCATGCGCATTTGTTTGTACAGTACGTCATAAGCCCAGGGGCCCGCGAAGAGATCACGGTTACGTATGGAGCTAATTCGCTTACATGTGACATGGGGGGGTTGTGCATAGTCTGCTCTCTGCCCTGTCTGCCACAGCCATACTTACTGCTGTAGCATGCAAGAAAGCCCGCGTTTACGCCTCCACTTCCTCCTTACGTCATCATCCCGGATTCAATCGCAGCACCTCTCCATAGCGTCGCCCATGCTGACCGCATACCCGTCCCGAACGCACAGGCCATGAAGCGCGACGTCGAGCCCCGCATACGCGGGCTTCAGGAGCGTCAGGAGGGCGAATTCCGTGCCATTCGCTCCGAACTCGACTACATCAAGAAGTGGGTGGTGCAACAGAAGCGAGTGATGGGCGAACTGTCAGAGTCTCCGCCGCCGGAGCGATCAGACGGGCCGCAGCCCACGCCACGCCCAGGTCGCGCAGGGGGTGGCGCTGCCAACGCAGGGCGGGGGAAGTAGCGTACGGCGCTGTGGAGTGGGGAGAAGGAGGGTGCGGGGTTAGGCGGGGCGGCTGCCGTGCCATGGCCGCATGTGTGCGTATGTGAGCTTTGGCTGGCAGGGATCGCTCGCTTGTTTGCACGTCGCCGAGAGGCGTGCCTTGTCTTATTATGACCCTTGTATAGAGGACGGTTACAAGTAGCACCGTAACCCGAGCAAGCATGCAGTCGTTGACCGGTAGGGAGTTTGGCGCGTCGCTGACCTTGTGATACACGTGACCAGGTGGTAAAAAGGGGATGCATGGTGGGGCATATGTTTTGGGTTGTTACAGCACATCTACGTTGTCTGGGAGGGGAAGCAGGTGTGAGCATGTTAGCTACTTCTGGTGGGGTTATGCGGTGTAGTTATGTCTGGTTAAGGTGATGTACTTGCTTTCTATACCCGTTGCCAGGCCTCGGATGCCTGTTGAGTACTGCTGATGATGCTGTATAGATACCTTCTGGTGCACATGCGTTGGGAAGAAGGGACTGCCGCAAGTGCGGCCACTGGAATAATAAATACTAGGGGAATATTCCTCGTGTTATGGGTTGGTGGGTCTCGTGAGACAGGGTGCTTATCTTCTCGTGTGGCGGGTGTGGTGTGAGGCCCCCTTCAGGGCAGCTTCGAGTGGGGCCGGCCGGTAGGAGACTAGGGACACGGCTGTTAGGATCGGATATGTAAAGAGGTAGGACGTAGGAGAGGCGGAAGTGATGGCCTAGGCAGGCAACGCATTCACGTCCTACTTGACTTCTCGGACAGGGTCGATGGTGTGTTGATGGTGGTAGCAGCGTATGCAGTGTGTGCCCCAAAAGGCCCTTGACTTCAGGTACAGTACAATGAGGAGCAAGGCCACCGTACAACGATTGTTGCGAAGTAGTGTTCTGGCCGGGACATGCAGCCTTTCCTTGTCGTTTTCCGGGTTGCTCCCGTGTTGACTGGGACGCGGCGAGGAGGGGGCTTTGGTAGGCGGGTGGAACTTCGATGTTGGTGATTTGCATGGTGTCTGCTTTAGGCACTTTTTCGAGCGCACGAGGTGAAGGAAATGTATGAACTAGTGAGGAATGGGCGTCCACTAGTACCGTGCAGCCGCTGCATGCGTGTGATGGCCTATACAGGCTACCGGTAGCTGTCTGTCCGTGAACCAGTTTTTCAGAAGCATAGCACATATCGGCGCATGCACATATCGGCGCATAGAAGACGGTGTCCCGTGTGTTTCCGGTGGCGCTGGAGGGTGGTGGGCTGCTGCCGGTGGAGCCTGTGATGGGGCACTTCCCGACGATAATCGTCTGGCTCATTGGAACATAAAAGCTCTGTGACAGAAGGCCGAGTTTGCGGATTCGTATTGAGCTGCAATGCAAATGTTCGACGGTTCTGACTTTCCAGGCAGATGCGCTCAACTGCCGGTCGCCGTACACTGATGCCGAATTACTGCTTTATACTGCCAAGCAAGCATGATGCCTCCTTGCTTAAATGATGCCAAGCATCGTCTTGCCCAGAAGTACTGCAGCCGTGGAGCAGCCCCCAGCACCACAAAAACCAGCCACAGCGCTCAGGGCGAGCATGAGACATGCAGGAGTTCCTGGGCAAGGGAATCCAGCCATTGGATAAACGCCAAAAAGCCTCCTATTCGCCCCCCTGACCTTCTAAGGGCACTAAATACCGGTATTCTTGGAGCCTGTCCAAAACGCCAAGAGAAAGCTCTTTCCATGTTACTCTACGGCTCCTTTGATGGAGGCATCCAGCAACACTCTCCAAACATGCTATCCAGCTGAAGAATCGTGGCCTTTCGAACAGGGACCATTCCTTCGTATACGGCAACTCCACCCCATATACGGGGAATCAAAACCTGCCTTCAGTCGGGGCGGTACGTTGTCACTAAGTTGGGCCTCCACTGCCGTCACCCAAGCCGCGGGCACCTCACCCAACAAGTTTTCTAGTGACAGCAGCAGACCATGGAGTCTGGGCAGGGAACAACGCGCAGAGGCAACCGAAAGAACCGGATAGGAGCCGAAGGATGAGATATGACCATCAACACATGATCTCCGCATCCTCCATACAACAAAGCTTATCTTGAGCATCCTTATACTGCAAAACTATAGTTATTAAAAACTGCCACAACAGTACATACACGAAGGGCATGGCAATGAACTAGGACCGGATGACAGTATTCCAAACCCAACATGCCTGATTAGGCCATCACACCAACAGGCAAAAACGGAACACCCCAACACCAACAACCCGGTTTCAAAGGATCCGGATACAATACGTCGGTATTAAGCGGTGAAACCAACACAGAAAATACTACACGTTGGATATGTTCCGGCAAACTATCTACCCCCAGCCATGGCCCCGCCATATTAGTCGTGGAAAACGCCAGGGGACTAGAAGCCGGATGCAAATCCTTAAAATTGAAATCAGAGCACGTTGTCAAGGATGCATAGACCCCCAGCCACCACCGTTGAACGAACAAGAAGGGCTCCCCAACAAGCAAAGCGAGCCCGAACAACGTCTAAGGAAGGCAAAACATCAAAACCATCTGCCCATCTGCCCCGGGGTGACTCAGCGGGTGACCTGGTAACAGTCTATCTGCAACACTTGCAGCACGCCCCTCCCCATCTTGCCGACACAGGTGCCCAACAAATTTAGCAACTTGCCAGAACCTGCTTGCCAAACTCTCCTAACTGATCACCCTGCAGTAAACCTCAATGCTTCCTATGCCAGGTCGCCACATGCAGCAGAGCTGCAAGCTGCCGTACCGTTAGCCCGACAGAGAATACGGTAGAAGAGGACGACGGTCCTCCGCTGTCAGGAACCGCTTGCTCCAATAATCAAGACACCAAGCTAACTCATTTTTCCGCTAAAGCCACTGCCGTACAAGCCACTGACAAACCCCAAATGTCACTACTGACACTAACCCAGTGAAACCCCAAGTCCCCAAGAAGCAAAATTTCAGTCTGTCGAGATTTAAGCGCAACGACTTCATTCACTGGAGGATTATGTCCCTCACACATCAGGCCCATGCCTTCCGGTTTGGGATCACTGCAATAACGGTCAATCATCCAGACCTGCCGTACACCACTACCTACCAACACCGTACCATTAGCAAACTGGACCACAGAGGTGAGGAAGGAATTCGAGGGATCAGATTTTATACCCGCCTGACAGTGCTGTAAGCTACACAAGAGGGCTGGCGAGGCAAATAAACAAGTACAGCGAGGGTGCTTAAGGACACCCTTGCCGGACACACGCCTCCATACACACCTGTTGCCATGCATGAACAGCCGCATTTACTTCCGATGTGGATACCGGTGTTGAGGACGTGTCAGTAAGCACTTTCAACAGACTTGCACCTCTCTCATAGCTCGCATACATAAAATAGAGCGCATTTCGGTCGAAGGTATGAAACGCCTAGGCAAAAATCATTGATGAGGCCACCATGCCGGCTTGCCTTTGGTGAGTTATGAAATGCTGTGACGTACGCAACAACAAATGTTTTGCGCCAACTAACCTGTCAGACAGGAACGCCGGCTGCTCTTAAGTAACCACGTTAGCCGGCCCAAGGCGTGATGCAAGTAGGCGGTTGTATGGGTGCACCCTTTTGGATGGCTCAGGAGGCAAAGAAGGAGCGCTACCCACATGCACGAACGTTAGTCCGACACACTTCACCTCTGCCACCCAGTTCCACAGCGGCATGCAGCAGCGGATCAGCACCGTACACATCCCGCTCGAACTATGCGCAGCACGCTGCTCGCGAGAAATGAATCACCGCTGCTCATATCTGTGTGCCAATCCGTATCAGCGACGTCACCGTCATACTTCCATAGCTAGCCCTGTCAAGCGATAACGTACTCCGTAACGTGGGAAAACGTGCCGTACGGCTGGTGGGAGGCGAAGATGTTCAAAACTGCACCCGCGCCTCCACGGGAGACGTTCTTGATCGTAAAGGCATACAAGTTGGAGTTGCCGTGGCCGTTAGTACTTGATAGGGTTGCTGGGTAGAATTTCTGGTTGCTGTTGGTGAATGAGGCCAACATGTGAGTTCCCTTCTTCACTTTAAACACAATCCGAAGCCCTTCGTCCGACGTAGACGTGTCTTGAATTACCAGCTGCTTGTGCGAAATGGGCAGCACACCCAGCTCCCAGCAAACCGGAAAACGAAGCTTAACAACCCTCGTAAATGTCTGCCAGCTGAGTCGGTAGTCCTCTGGTAGCAGCGTCCAAGCAGGGTTCTCCGGAAAGTGTGATTGCACAAAGGCTAGCGGATCTGCCATGTAGTACTGCCGGCCCCATTCCTGGATATACGTCGTACCGTTGGTGTGGCCGGCGCACCAGGTTGGATCCACAAGATGCCAGCGCTCCTTGCGCCTCGAGGGGACGTACAACTTGACCGCATTCCAGTTGTGGTTGGCTTCATACTTCATGCCTGAGGAGGCTGTGACCGTCGTACCGGAAAGACTCCGGGTGAAGCCCATACCCTTCGCGTAACCGGAGATAACTTCGCACTCCACGTTACAAGCCTTGCACAGCGCTGCCATGAGCCGCGAGAAGCCATGGCAAACCGTACACCTGGGCGACAGTTTATTTGACAGGGAAGTGAACCAACTGAAAGAAAGAAAGCGACAAGTAGTGAAACAATAAAGATGCAATTCGCATGTACGGCCAGCAGACAGGGCCGTACCATCGGGCAGTACTTGTAGAAGTGTATGTGCGGATTCCTCAGTTCCCAGCGTATGCCGACGGGACTTATAAACCCCAACAATGTACGGCAAACACCGCCTACCTGTCTCGCAGCACATCATCGGCAGTCATGCTTCGGACGGTTCCGCCGAAGTAGGCTTCTGTGTCGTACCGCACGTTGAGGTGCAGCCAGAAGCAGATGGCGCGGACCTTCTCCTCGGGGCTCCTTGCCGCTGAGGCCAGGTAGGTCGCGAGGTCGGCTATGGTGCGGGTTACAGATGTCGGGCAGGCGCGCGCGTGTGCGTCCATGGCCGCCATCCGATCTTGTGATAACGTTCCACGGTATAGCGGGCATTTCATGTCGTTGACCACGGCGTCTAGGCGAGCGAACGAATCAGCTTGCTCCATGTCCGCAGTCAGAAAGTAAGGATGTCTGTAAATCCTGACTGCGACGTCACAGCAGTAGGCACAGGCAGGGCAAGTAAGACGGCGAAAGTAAGGCTCAAATGTTAAAGGCCGCCGTTGTGCCAGAAGGTATATATTGAAGACTTATAGTTGCTTTATATTGTTCTAGTTGTGCAGAGAAAGCTTCGCATTCTATCAGCTGTCCCAGCATGCAGCGACCTGCTAATCATGACTTCTCTCACCTACTCCTCCAATCTATTGCCCCATAGCAACAAAAAATGACCAACATACCTTGTAAACGTAGTTTTAGGTGGCTTCTTATCCACAGAAGTGCTTTGCAGCGGCTTGCAAAATGCGATGTCCGTTCACGCTTCGGCAGCGCCCTCCGGAGCTAAACCATTCTCGTATATTGTGTCGTCGATAAATTATAAACAACAACTTGCACGGCTGCTTAGGCCGTCTTGCCTACTTAGGCTTGTATGATGGTACCAAGCGGCGGCAAGGATTGCGACTATTGGGAAAAGAAGCTGTTGTGGATTGTCCTCAGAATGATCTTGCGTGACAAATGAATCACAGTACTGTGACGCGGCCTACCCTGGAGTGGCACCGGCGGAAAATCTGCGAAAGCACAAGTCGGGGAGCTGCATAGAGACTGGGGTAGACCGGCTCAACTGCCGGTTCGTTACCCGGTTGCCGTACACTGACCGAGATACGGCCAAGCTAGCACTCCAGGAAATTGGCACGACAAGTTGCTCATATGGCCAATCATCAACGTCGGCACTACAGACTATATATGGCATTCCAAGCTTACCGTACCGACGCTTTGCAGCCTCCAGGCAGGCTAGCCGTCGAGGGCGGTGCGGGGCGTTGGTTACATGATTACCGTGTTACGGGGAAAAGAGGAAACAACTAACTGACTGAGGGATAAGGCGTCAACATGGGTTGCAACATGTGAGCCAGCCCGACCCGCCCAGCCCGAATTAGCCAAGCCAAATTGCCGAATTAGCCCGTGTTACGGGGAGGCCTTGAAGGAGGCGGAGGAGGATTGCTACCCATAATCCCACCTGCATCGCTGGTTTCGTCACACTTCCACCACTGCCACCCAGTTCCACAGCGGCGTACTGCAGCCGATAGCATCGTACAGATCCTGCTCCCGCAGTACGCAACATGCTGCTTGCCGGGAACAGAAACAACGCTGTCCGTGGTGTACTGCAGCCGTTTTAAAAACTATCATCGACATACATTAAATAAATACTCAAGCAATGTTAAGCAATCACATACTCCGTAACCCAGGCATACGTGCCGTACTCTTGATGAGAAGCAAAGAACTTCAACACTTTGCATGCATCCGTGCCATTACAGGCAACTGCGACGTCCTTGATATAAAAGGCAAGCAGATCGCTGTTCTTGTTGCCGTACTGCTGCTCGTTGACGCCTGACAGGGTTGCTGGGTAAATCTGCTGGTTGCTGTCGTCGATTTTCGCCAACATGTGAGTTCCCTTCTTCACTTTAAACACGATCCGAAGCCCTTCATCCGATGTTGACGCGTCTTGTAACAGCAGCTGCTTGTGCGAAATGGGCAGCACGCCCAACTCCCAGCAAACTGGAAACCGCAACCTTGCGACCTTTACGAACGTGTGCCAAGTGGGTCGGTAATCCTCTGGTAGCAGCGTCCAGGCAAGGTTCTCCGGAAAGTGCGACTGCGCAAAGGCTAGCGGATCTGCCATGTAGTACTGCCGGCCCCATTCCTGAATCCATGTCGTACCGTTGGTGTAGCCGGCGCACCAGGTCGGATCCACAAGATGCCAGCGCTCCTTGCGCCTCGAAGGGACGTACAACTTAACCGCGTTCCAATTGTGGTTGGCTTCATACTTGATGCCTGAGGAGGCTGTGACCGTCGTACCGGAAAGATTTCGGGTGTAGCCCACGCCCTTCACGTAACCGGAGATCACTTTGCACTCCACGTTACAAGCCTTGCACAGCGCTGCCATGAGCCGCGAGAAGCCATGGCATACCGTACACCTGGGAGACAGTTTGACAGGATTGAAAGGGTGAGGCGGCAAGTTTTAAGTTGTCAAACGTGATCAGAAGCACGCACTTGGCATGTGCGCCCGGCCCTAGAGCATGCAGGGCCCTACCACCGCCGGGCAGCATACGTGTATGTGCAGCCTTCCTCTGTTCAAGACGTAAGAACGCGACGATGTACGGCAAACACTGCCTACCTGTCTCGCAGTACATCATCGGCAGTCATGCTTCGGACGGTTCCGCCGAAGTAGGCTTCTGTGTCGTATCGCACGTTGAGGTGCAGCCAGAAGCAGATGGCGCGGACCTTCTCCTCGGGGCTCCTTGCTGCTGAGGCCAGGTAGGTCGCGAGGTCGGCTATGGAGCGGGTTGCAGATGTGGGGCAGGCGCGCGCGTGTGCGTCCATGGCCGCCATCCGATCTTGTGATAACGTTCCACGGTAGAGCGGGCATTGCATGTCGTTGACCACGGCGTCTAGGCGAGCGAACAAATCAGCTTGCTCCATGTCAACAGCCTCTCGGTTAATAAGCTGCAATGTCGGAAGTTATGACTGCGGTTCAAAAAGCGGCAGGCACAAGGGGGGCATATCCTCAAGAAATGGGCGCATGGTTATGCATGGCTCAGCAGTTGCAGTTACCTGCGAATTACCTACCGTCACAAAAAACAGTAGAACCTCCCCACCAGCCGTGACAGCCAAGCCAAAGAGGTCAAATCCCCTTCACCCACAACCTCCAGCCTCTTCAAAAGTACACAAGCCACGACAACTTCACAGACCATTCAAGCAGGATGCAAGCCGCCAAGGGCCGCAGCTGCAGGGCTCGCAGCGCCCCCACTCTGCCGCATGCAGACATGCTCTCACTCGAAGGGGGTCTGCACACATGCAACAGAAGCAAGGGTAGCGTTCAAAAGGGTTTAGTTTTCCTTCGCAACTGAAGCGTCGCAGAAGCTCAGCAGTGTTACCAGTATTAGGATCCAGCTATGCTTACGGTAACTAACACAACGCCACACAAAAAGTCATCGTCAACAGAACATGTCCAGGGGGTCAACAACTAACGCCAGCAGTGGAATAAAGCACCAAAAATCGCTGGTATGGTTTGTCAACAACGCCCCTCAAGAACGCCAGTTTCGTGCCTCAACCAAGGAGCACACTGCTCCTCCGCTCAGTCACAGCTGAAATACTCAGCACAAGTACAGCGACCAGACCACCACAACACACACACATACACACAACTACACACACTGTTTTACCGCAGAACGCCGCCAACTCGCATACCGATACATGGCAACATGGGAGGTGACAATACAGCAAAAAAACAGCCCGAGCTGCAGCAGCAGGCCTCGCCACCCACCCCACCCATTGCCCCATTCTTCTTTTTCCCGCTGCCCCGCCACCACATTTCCTCTCGCCCCCCTGCCTTTCTTCATCATACACCCAACATGGCCCAAGTTGCCGCTGTAGGTCTAACGTTGTCCCATGCTCCAGGCCTGGCCATCAGACCACAGCACAACGCCATGTCAACGACCTACAAACTGACAAACGGAGACACCCTGCTGCAGAGGCAATCCTACCCGCGCGGCAAACACCGACCAAACATGACGTTGGAAGCGCGTTATGCATGGGCAAGCAGCCAATTGGCCACAGACTGCCGCATGCGCTAGCCCACATAGGTATCTTCACCAACATCGGGAGAAGCTGCCACTTGCCTACCGATTGCCACCGCACGCCCCGTTCTTTCATGGTCCCCTCACAAACCCTAGTACTAGGGGCATCTAACCAGCAGCTTTGGCGCACATTCAAGACGCATCTCACTAGCTTCACAAACGCACATCCCTTGGACGCACCCACGTGTTGGTGGCAGGCCTAACGGGCCCATCTGGCAACCGTAAAGATACAGAAGCGGTGATGGGACCCATGGGTCAATAAGAAAGCAATTAATAAAAAGAGAGACCACTCCCTCCGGGATGTTCGTCTCTGGCATCGTCAGACACGCAAGTACGCAGTATGCGGCAGGATGTGCTAGCTTACCGCCCCAATCAACTCAAAACACGCGACAACACCCCCTAGACAATGCAGGCACATGCTGACCCTCATCCCTCTTAACAAGCACGACGAGTTGCCCAAAGCCACAGCCACGATACTTGCATTCCCTGTCACTCACTCCTGAAGGCAGAGGAAAGACCAAGAATGAAAGAAAAGCAGCCGCCGACTCGCACGAGCCCCCCGCCACACCAACTCGATTGCGGTCAAACACATTGCACCAGACCATGCAGACCAACAAGTGGGTACTCGCATGGCGACACCCCACCCCACGGTCCACCACAGCAGGAAACACTCCCGACCTTGCAATCTTGTTATGTTGCCACCAGCCAAAAGCCACAACGATACGACCAAAAACATGGCCTCAACCAAGCCCCTTTACAGGAAAGAAACACCCCAGTGCTTCCGCATATCGGATATCACGAAAGAAGAGCAGAGAGGAACAGACGGTACACACAAACAAACCTTGCGTTAACCAAATCAGGCAATAGCCAGCCGCATCCGTCAAGGACACGCTTCGACACACCAGCCGTATACCTGAGTGAGTGACATGGGCTCGCTTACGCAGTCGCCAACACGTTCCATGTGACATGTGACTAGGTACAGTCCTCCTTGGGAGGTTAGGTGAGCAGTGTTGGCGGGGCTTACCCACCGTGAACAAGTTAACACCGGACAGCATTAGCATGCCACACGAATACGGCCAAACTCGGTCACAACAATTCACCATAGCCATACATAATGACACGGTAGCCATATACCACGATACGGCTCGCTTTTCAGAGGATAAAGGGTGTTTTGTGGCACAGGCCACTGCTGCGCAAGGTGTCCGCCGGGAAGGCGGGTCCGTTGCAAAGGCACGAACAGCGGCCGGGCAACGTACTAAACGGAGTGACAGCCGAAGGAACGACTGCGACAAGATCCCGCTAAAGGAATGTTTCAGGGGTGACCGCCCAGAAGCCGCATCAGGGCGGCCTTGCATCTGCGCCACACTTCTCCACATACTACTACACAGCAGTCCTGCGCCTACAACAGGCGACGAGAATGCCAGTTCGCCCAAACTAACACCGAGGCCGATGAAAACAGCCATACAAGCAACACAAAACGCGCGCGTGCGCCTCATCATCACCCATCCCATCCG